GTGTTTCGGGTTCTGAACAGTGGAGCCCCCACCTGCTCCTCAGGTGCATCGTCTCAGGATCCAAGACCGTGACCCGGGACAAACCTGCCAACAAGGCTGCTCGCATCTTAAATACAAACCCTCAACTAGCTGCTACTGGGGGCGGGGGACCCAAACGGATCGCAGGGCCGCTTTTCCTCTTTAACTACAGGTCCAGCGTGGCGGCCTTCCCTGTGGTTCGTGGTCACGTCTAAGGAGCTCAGTGGGGAACGGGTCTGACCCAGCTCCGATGGGGGGATCTGGCCACGGCCCGCCAGCCCCTCCCGGCACAGCAGGCGGCCAGGCTCCCAAGTCCACGTCACTGAATCTCGGGGTTTCTCGCATGAGATTTCCTCTCCCCCTGAGCGGACTTAGCTCCAAATTACATTTTGCTTAGGCTCATGTCAACATGGGTCCCGGGGCTTGGTCAACACTCGGGCGATGAGCTGTGGGGGAGGGGCAGCCGGGACGTTTCCCCGGAGAGGGGCACAGGGCACCCAAGGGAGGAGGCCTCTGCCATCTCTCAAAGCGATGGGGCCGGCGGTGCTTTCTCAGCGGGTATTAGAACTTGGGTCGGGTGTGTGTGACCCCTTCAAAGCCACAGGAAATTCAGCGGCGTCCATAAACTCTTTCCTCCCCTCCTCGCCTTTCTTGGCTCTTTCTTCCAAGAACACACCTCAGGTGGGTCCGGCTGTGCCGGAAACTCTGGAAGTTAGTCCTGGAAGGACTCCTTCCTCAAAGGCAGGGGCAGGAGGGGACAGGGACAGTCAGGGACTGGCGGCGACACCCGCCCGAGGGCCCCTGGCTCTCCCAGCGCCGCCCTGTCCTCCTGAGGGCGCCGTCTCCGCCCGCGGGACCCGCACCCACCTGCCCCGAGAGGTCGCACTCCTGGTCGAAGTCCACGTACTCGTCCTCTTTGCTGTACATGCCCAGGCCCAGCTTGAGCGGCTTCTTCTCCGCGTCCAGCCGGAACTTCAGTTTGCAGAGGCTGTCGAAGAGCTTGGACAGGTGGCGGCTCACCTGGCGGGGGGCGGGGGCACCGGAGTTACACGGCCGCGGGGCTCCACGGGGCGCCCGCAGCCCGCGTTCCTTGGCGGCTGGAAGCACCTTCCTTTCCGGGGGGATCGACTCCCGCTTCTCTGGTTAATGTGAACTGAACGCGCTCAGCCAACAAAAGGGAACAGCGGAAACTGCTCTCGGGCAGGACGCTGGAGCCAGCCCGGGGTCCTCGCCGGACACGGTGTCTGTCCCCAAGTTCTGACCCAGCCACCGGGCCTATTTCCCCAAGTCACACACTCAGATCTTTAAATTTCGGGCCACCCTAGTGCATCCCCGATGGCGAGTCCCGCAACTTTACAGTTAATATATAGTCACCTTCCCTTCACCTGGTTAGTTAACCTCCCCTCTTTCAGAAGAGACTC